TCTCTCTCTCTCTCTCTCTCCCTTCGGATCTCTATCTCTCTGTCTCTCCATCTCCCTATCTCTCCACCTCTCCATATCTCTGTCACTGTCTCTCTCCCTCTCTCTATCTCTCTATTTTTCTATCCCTCCACCGTTCCTATCTATCTATCTGTCTAGCTATCTATCTGTCTATCTATGTATCGATTTATGAATTTATGGGTCGATGTATCTATCTGAACATATCTGAACTTGTCTAACTCTATGCATTTAACTGTCGATCTATCTAAATGTGGGCTGATTAATTAACAACCCCACACGACCTTTGCTCGACTGAAGTGGCGAAAAATGGGAGAGCCAGAGGTGTGGAAGATTGTAGCAGGGCAGCAGCCTCTCTGATTAGAGGCGAGTCGTACAGGAAGAGGCACGCCCAAAAAAGCCAGACGCAGAATAGCGAATTCATTCTGACGACAAGGCGTTTTCGGCATCCGGGGGCACATTGCAGGCATGTAAAGGCATTTTAGTTTTCCTAGAAGGCGATCGGCCAAACCGGGCCGAATACCCATCTTGTATATTCATCCAAACCAAAAGTGAACATCAACCATCTACCTGCCAAACTCTGAAGCTATATTTCCAGTTCCTGATTAATTAGATTGACTTGCACATGTGTGTTCACTCGCTTTGCACGCATTCAACCGTTGCACGCAACATAGCGGGCTCAACAAATGAAACACTTGGGCTTTTGAAGCCCCGTGCGCCTTTCAACTCTTGTTAAACCCATCGTCGCGAAACGTTGCACATTAGTCATGACTCGATCGCAACAAGTCCGCCAGCTTGCAACATGAGTAGCTTGCGCTTGGCTTTAGATCCGTTAGCCTGGCGACTTCGACAAATGCGTCGCTATCGCGGGTGCAGCCGAAGGTTTTAAACTTCTGGAAATACCAGTGCAGGAAAAGGGTGCCGTGCAGCGAGATGCAGCGACGAAGCTGGAGTTTTGATGGTCGTGTAGGCAGTCAATGCACCAGTTGGTCGGAAGGCCAGCGCTTCACGACTCCGCTGGCCGTGGTTCGTCAAGATAATATTGCTTCCCCAATAGGTCCTGTGACGCTGCATCAGCCAATGTGGTATCATCCGAAATGAAACAAGCCTAGAGTCTACTGAGCAAGACCTGCGACCTCGAGTGACCAAACACATCCTGCAGTTCATGCACCATTGCGCAACATGTCGAATCTTTCAGCCTTACTTTACAGCGGCTTGGTTGCAGACGTTGCTGTGGTCGGCAGGTAGAGTCTTCATCTGTGAAACCGGAATAAGGCCTGCGGCAGCTGGAGTCCCAGCTGCAGAAGGTGATCGGAGAAGTTCGTGCAGAGGCCACGAGCTCTGGGACATAAAGGCAAGAAGCCCTCAGCACTGCAAGGACGCAGGTTGTTGTTGGGCATGGCAGTCCCTGCGGTATTTTCAGTCAGTCATCACCCGGACCAACTTCTTTCTACTGCGGAGGGCGTAGATCACCCCCTGCTCTGCAGACACGACACAGGTGACACAAGGTATGGTGATAAACCTCCTATTTTCGCTTCTTTGCCTGACAGCCAGGTTGGTGTCTTGGCACACAATGCCGAGCTGGCCCCGACTCCGGCTGTCGTCCAGGCTGCGGTTCCGAGACGTTTCAAGCCGCGAAGTCTTCAGCGAAGCGCACGTCGAACTACTATGACTAGGACATACTGTGACTATTCCTCCAAAGCCGTGTTTCACTAACCTCAGAGTGGATGACAAGCTTGCCCTTGAGGATGCGGTGCCAGAAGTGCCTCCGGTGTTGAACACCTGCATCATGTGCAATGACATGGCGCGTGATCCTTCGCAAGTGGGCATGGTAAGCACTTCAACGCTGCATGCAGCTGCTTGGCACATCCCTGCCTCTTGCAGTACGTGATTCCCATGCAAGTGCCGACGCACGTGCTGAGGCTTCACTTCTGAGCCATGCAGATGACCGTCCGAAGATGTAACTTTGCCCAAATGAGAAATAACTCGCTCCAGACACCAACAATCCACCATAGTCCACCATTCCCACCATGCAGTCGGAAGCCTGGAAGTCTGCAGATTCTACCGGTACTGAACTCTCACGCCGGGTAGCAGTTGTTTAATTATTTTAATTCCGCACCGGCAAGGCATCTCAACTCTCACTTCATGGAGCTCTCCCTGACATCAGGCTGTTGTCCACGCTGATGCGGTGCATGTGGCGTCACGCCTACGGGCAAGTCATTTTTGTCGGAACCCCTCGAACCGCCTGCTGTGCCACCAATAAAACTATTTCCTGTGCTGGTGGCCGAACCTGCCAGGAGGGGCTCTGCATGCAGCTGGGCTCCAGCCCCGGCAGTCAGCGCTTCGGCGACACACCACGCGAGCCCTTTCCGCCAGGACATCAAGAAGCCTTGCAAACCTGAAGGGCGAACGGAGGGAAGTAGCCTCTGAATTCAGAGGGCTGGTGCTCGGTGGTACAGTGAGATGGTTCGACTGATCAAAAAATACTTTAAAACTTCACAGGGGACCATGCCAGTTGAGCAGGTGCTGCACATATCTTGCGCAACGCGATCAGGAGTTCAGAAGGAACCATGTTGGATTTCGACTCAGCTGCTTGCAGAGTCCTGTCGCCACACTCGCGACCTCGAATTGCCTGGGACGCCGTCGGAGCAGGCTCCTGGGAGTATGTTTGCTGATGCATTCCGAGATTCCCTCAGCCCCAACTGTGGCCATGTAGTATGGTGTCCCAGTAAGAGCAGCGAGCAAGCCGTGGTCTGGTTCGGGATACGAACAAGGTCTCATCGTGCTGGATGCATTGATCCTGCCGCTCAGCCTTGCGTGGGATTTTGACGTGTCTCCAGTTCGACGGGATGTTCCCCGGACGATGCAGCAAAGTTGTATTTCGTTGTTCAAGTCAACCAGCAGCAGGGTCCATGGCAGTTCCAGATGCCGAGTGCAGAAATGCAGAAAGACATTGTTTGCTTACTATGGTGGATGAGGCTTCCGATGTTAAACTTGCTGAACCTTCCACCACAGCACCGAACGCAATCGCGCCAACAATCTGCTAAGAGGCGCAGGGATCCTGGATTCCCGAAGGTGAACTGTCTGAGACCAGTAGTCGTGAGCCGCCTGCCTTGTGCGAGTTGTGAATCAAGAACACAAGTACGAGTGCATGGGTCTTCTGACTCATGTGCGCAAAACCGTCGCGAAGCTCAGCAGCCCACGCGATGGCGAATCCCCGCGGCACGGTGAGTCAATGACAAGCACAGTACTCGTGGGCCTAAGTGGAATTCCTGGCTTTTCAACGAGGCAAAGAAACGGTGTCCCAGAGACCCAACACCCCAATCGCTTGCAGGCTTCTCAGCCTGGCCGAGCTTTGCGGTCTGTACCTTTTTTTTGATCGGTATTGATCGGATCCTTTAGGAGACAGGTCAGGCAAATTCATTCATGACTGCTCTGCGAAGGATCTGTTCCTGCAGCTGTATGCTATCATGCACTTGGTATTTTGGCCTTTGGATGTTTTCGCTAACTTCAACACTGGATTCTACCAGAAAGGGGTTCTGAATCTGAATCGGCGCAGCATTGCGAAGAGCTACTTGCAGACGTGGGCCTCATTCGACGTTGCAGTCGTGGCCGTTGACTGGGTGTCCTGGCTAGCAACGACGGCATCTGAAGCCAAGACAGACGTCGGCTATCTCAGAACGCTGCGGACCGCACGCTACCTGCGAGCATTTCGAAGCATTCGTGTGCTCCGTCACCTGGCAGAAAGGGTTACCAGACTCATCCAGCCTCGATCATCGGAGCAGTCCGTCTTTGCTTCGCAGTTTCACAGGTGAGTTTCTTCTATGCTCATGATGATGCATTTTCTGCCCGGCTGCTAGTGTTACCGTTTTCTTTCTGCATATCCCGGCAATTTTTCGCCTCCGGACTATACTACACCTCAAGGCATCGTGAAGAAGGGAAGAATCAACGTAATGCTGGAAAACTACGTCATCGCCATGGGTCGCCAATGGCTGATATTGGCATTCAACGTCATGAAGATGTTGGCCTGGATTGGGTTGACAGCTCACCTTCTAGCTGCCTGGCTGCAGATGTAACGGCCCTTCCTGTGTACTCTGTACGCCAGGAGTGCAGCTGCAGCAAGTCTAGTCACTGACACAGTGATGGCAATGGCAGGGTGCGGAATCCGAACTAATCCCAGCAAGTTGAACTGAGGCCTGTGCATGGTTTGCAGGGTGCTCAGGAGCATGCAGCAGTGTGGGGATACCCTGCTTTGACATGCATCGGCAGGCGCTGTGCAAAGATACTAGCCGACTTACAGACCTTTCGGAGAGAGTGGAAATACAAGCATGGGTTTGTTTCCCGAGGGTGTTGGAATGCTGTATGTGGCCACCGGCAAGAGCTGGATCGACCTCGCCAGTGTCACCGATTCATCAGGCCCGCGAAGACACTTCACGACTACATGCAGCTACGTAACTTTTTCGTATTCCACACTCTTGGTTTATTTTTCAGAGTACGCGAGAGAGTGCCACCTGTGCACAGGCCCCATACAATACATCCACGCCTTGGCGTGGATTGTCCAACCGCCATCCCCACCAGAGCTCTCTGTGTTAGACCCAGACAGCTTCACAGAGCGACTGGTCTCAATCTTTCTGGCAACTTGGCAGAGATAGATTCTTACATCTCCCTGTATTTGACGTTCGAAACATGCGATTCCTGCCTCGGAGGTTGTGGTTACAGTCCTAGTGATTGGTTCATCGCTGTCCATGATGACGGGAACTTTGCAAGAGCTTTGGACAGCATCTCACGGAGCTGTCTGTCGAGCCTAATCCTTGCTTCACTCTCCTTGCAAGCTGCGTGCTCAGCAAGGAGATACGAACCATCAACAACGAACGGAGTCGGAAGCGCAGGGAGCTTCGCACATACCTCCATGCGCAAGCAGCGCCCACTGAGTGTCTTGGCTGCCAGGGATGCACGAGTCGGCTGAATCGCGTGGGCAATTCGCACTCTGTCCGGATCAGACGTCCTCCGTAGGGAAGGAGCTGTTTCCAACTCGAAGAGCACATTCATTCGCCATGGCACGAAGAGGAAGTTTGCTGATGGCGGCCAGCTGTGCTGCGCTGCTCCTTTTGGGGCTGCGATGGTGTTTCGTGTCAGGTCCATCACAGCCGAGAACTGCAGAATTCAATCCTGCCGTGGCAGCCTCTGCTGCTCTGCCAGCCCTTACAATGCTCGCCGAGGATGCAGAGGCCAAGTATGGAGACCAGCGCAAGTTCGCAGCTGTCTTGGTGCCTCTCACCACACTGGTGTTTCCAGCAGTGGCCATGGGAATGTTTGTGCTTTACTCCTTCCAGGAGGATGCCTTCTGGCGCATTGTGCCAGGCACCAAGCGTGCCAAGGAGTTGGATGATGCCTGGAGGGAGCATCCGCTCTTTGCCAACTCAAAGGATCCCTTGGATGGCCTCATCAACCCGGACGATTACGAGAAGGGCTTGGAGGAAGCCTGGGAACGTGCCAAGCCTGCAGGCAGCACTGTGACAGTTAAAGACAAGCTCAAGCAGCTGTCCAAGCAGAACAATCCTCACTGGGAGTCCTGGAGGGCCATGTCGGCATGAAGATCCTCTTGGAGCGACTCCGAACTCCTTTGGCTACCAAAGCAGATTTTTTTGTGTGGCACTTCCCAGCGATTAGCCTGGCGGCGTGGCTGGTGCTCCAGTGCTCTCCTTGTACAGACTCCTCAAGAGAGCTCAGGAAGTTGAAGCCGAAAAGTAGATTCGTGCGAGCGCATCACCGAAGCAGTCGCGTGCCTCCGGTGTGGCAGATTCACAGTACTTAGACGTTGCAACTTCTCAACACTCGCTGTTTACTCTGAGCCTTAGGCCCAAAGTCTCCCAATCCCTCGTATGGAGTATGAGACAGTGGTGCATCCTGTAGGCAAGTAAGTGTCACCCCTGCCACCCTGATCTCTGGGTGGCCGCGAAATGTGAGGACATACTAGCTTGGTGCAGAAGCTGAAAGCTTCGTCAAGAAGCCTCGGTTGTCAGACCGAGGCTCATAATGCGAATCATGAGCTTCGCGGATTACAAGTTGGAGCGTCACTCTCCCGTCTCCTTTGACCCGGACCTGATTTCGCCATTGCTCAAGGCGGCTTTGCTGATTCTTAGCACCCGTGAATCCCACGAGTTCCTTGAGCGACATGCCGATCGCTAGAGTTCGAGGCTGAGTTGGCCATGTTTCAGAAGGGCCACCTCACGAATGGCCATCCGTTATTCTCCCTGATTAGACTCTCGGTCGGACCCATGCACAGTAGCGTTAGCCCCGAGATAGGCGTGGCTGCATGTCGCCGCTGAGGATCAGTCTTTCCGAAAGTGTTTGCCGACATTTGCTGTTCCTTTACTTAAGCAAAGCTATCCAGTACGCGAGCTGTTGCGACGGGGAAAGTGTGCTACTAATTCTTGTGCCCAGCCGCAGAACCCAAGGCATTCTGGAGAAGCAGCTGTTCTACGAGGGTGAATCTGTATCTTGGCTCATGGCAAGGGATCTAATAGAGCCACAACATGAACCGAATAATCACCATCGAGAGTCAAGGTATTTGTGGTCGGGCTATTGGCGAAGGGCATGTACATCACCAGCCATGGAAGCTTCTGCGTTCGCGGGGAATCTGGCCGAGAACAGGAGCGGCCAGCCTTGTTCTGCACGAAGCTATCCGACCACATCGTCAGGACACCGAGCGATTCACAGGAGAGTACCATTTCTTTGCGGAGGCAATGTGTCAACTCTAGACCTTGCTTGGCTCGTGCTGTGACTTTCCTGCCTGAGGCAGCGCTCTTTGCGGATGCCGTCGTTCACGATTGCTCGCTGGATATTGAGACTTTTGCAGAGGTGTATTTCGTCTCCGGTAGAAGTATGGCTTCTATTCTGCAGCTTGGTCAAACATTCAGCTAAGACACAGCCAAGGCATGTCGTTCTGGGTGTGCTCAGTACAAGGTCGTTGGGTTGAATCTCAGGATGAACTCTCCTGCTTGTGCCGCGCTATGTGTCGAATATGCGCGAGCGCCTGGCATCGTCATGGACCGTGAGGTGTTGCATCCTGTTGTGAGTCCTGAAGAAGCAGCCAGCCTGCCACCGGTATGATGCAGCCAGCAGCAAACTTAATTACTCACCATCAGCCGGTGCTTGTTCGCATGCTGCATGCTGCCAAGGAGTTCATATCCGTGTATTCCACATCTGCAGTTGAAAAGACGAAAAGTGGACCTTCCTCCTCCAGTTGCGGTTGGAGACGTGATCTGCAGTGCGCCCACAGCGCTATCCAGACCAACTCCTTCCACGTCCGGCTCTCAGAACGCACAAACTGACGCAGCGCGCCGCAGCGTCGAGAGGAGCCTGGCCAACGCAGCGAGCGGTGGTGCAACGCCCTGACCTAGCCCGTGCCTACTAGCTAGCCGGGTCATACGACGATTCCCGTACACACCTCCACTGGACCTGCACTGTCAATGCTGCTGCTGGTGCTGCCACGACGACTACTACGTGTATCGTCTTTCTACTACTACCACTACAAACTACAGTACGATCACCACTACTACTTCCACTGATTCTTCTACGCTCGCTACTGCTGCTGCTGCTGCTAC